TAAGACTCAATTTTCCCATTAAATTGCAATTAAAATGAAAGAAAATTTTATAGAATTTAAAGTAAATAAAATAGTTATATTTATTTTTAAAATAAAACTAGTTTTTACGGATTTTATCGCGTATATTAACTTTATTATATTCCCGACGTTTCGAGCACTTTACAGCAACCATGGTCACGGGAGGGACTGATGTCTTCGGCGTCCCGATGTAATAGTTACCGGGGGTTATTTACAGATTAAAATTATTAATTTTTGTTCCGGTCTACACAGTATGAACTTATAGTATCTTGAAGTCTTGCAGTTGTATGCTTGGGCTGGGTTTTAATTTTATTAATTATAGGATCGTTGTCGAAAACCTTAGTCCCCTTGTGACCACGGGTGCTGTAAAGTGCTCGAAACGTCGGGAATATAAAAAAGTTAATATAGGCGATAAAATCCGTAAAAATTAGTTTTATTTAAATGTTCGCGTAAATATGAGAAATCGTTACATATTTATTTTTACAATTATATTTTCCACTCATTTTAAATTTAAGTTCATGAAATTATAAAAATATTTTTTATACTGGCATCTCCATTGAAATTACCACAGTCGTACCACATACAGCTTAGTACTTGACCTAAATAAATAAATAATGAATAATTAATATAAAAATAAAAATTTGCTATTTTTATATCTTAAAAAACCCTGATTTAGTTAGTACTTAAAAAGTAATCAATAATAGCACATTTTATTCAAGATCCTCTCTAATATGTAAAAAAGAGCGTTATATTCATTACAAAATAACTTTAAAATACGTTACGGCCAAGAAGTGTTCAATTCATTTTTGAGGTCGCTTGCACTGCTACTAATGCTGCTCGGGTGCCAAGCGAAAAGGTCTGACAAAAGTTTTCATTGTGCATAAGTGGATTTGGATTACCATTACACCAAATTCATAAACTAATATTTTTCCTAATTTAATATTAAATCGTTTCCGAACGTAAGGGATCTTACCTCTCCCTTCTTACATTGCTTGAGTATTTATATATTTTTTAATTTACACCTTGAATAATGCCTTGTCTTAACAAAGGCAAGAAGTTAGTGAACGTGGCGAGAGAAGAGATAGTAGAAGACTGTAAACCATTTAAACTTAATCAGTGGGCCATTGGACACGACTGACTCCCCCGTTCTTTAATAATTGATTCACTTTGGTCTTGATCATACTCTATGGATCTCATAAGTGATTCTGAATCAATTTGCAAAATTTTATCAACTCCAAAAGTTAAGCGGGATGTTCAAACTTGATATCTCACAACACCAAAATAAAGATACACAATGAATTCACCTAACTGAAAACGAATAAAACTCTTTGAATATTTTTTATTATGAAGAAATGGTACCATCTATAAGCATTGTATATAATTGTAATGATTATATTATATTTAATTGTATAGTTCAATATAGCCTTTCGAGTGATGTCGGGACTGCCGTGATTTTGCAGTGCATCAGGGATGTAGTACTATGCCAACGTATCTGAAGGTTATTAGTGGTAGAATAGAATAATTTTTTATTCAATATAGATTACAAGTAATTCTTATTGAAAGTCAATATTTTACGTTACCACTGGTTCGAAAAAAACCTCTGTTCTGGGAAGAACCAGCAAACCAGACTGTCCAGTCAAGGACACTGGGTATACATACATGGAAACACTGGATATACACATATGCGTGTATACCAAGTGCCACAAACTAGCCCGGAAAATATTTAAATTAATGTTTTAGTGTTGTTTTTATTAGGTTTTAGTAACATAATTTGTAAATTCATATTTTGTTCTAACACTTTTATGAACCAAAAGTCTGAAATAAATTCACTTTATTTTAATTTTATTTTTTTAAGAATTGATCGCTATAGATAAAAACTGTGTGCCGCTGATGAGTATGTCCCAGAATAACTCCAAATATGCCAAAGAGTATCGTTACATTGAATTAGCCGATAAAGATTTTAACTCCGGTGAAGCTTTGAAATCAGTAAACATGCCGCCGAATAGCTCCAAATTCAAAGAAGTCTATGTCTATCTATAAGCAAAAGTCTATAAAATTACTTACTCATTGCCATCTACAGTACGTCTTCCAGTACCAGTAGAAGAGCGCCATTATTAAGAATAAAGCGGGGAAGATTTTGAGGCCGGTGATTCGGTAAAAGAATGGACTATGTACCGTCAGTGGAGATGCCGCAAAACAGTTCTGATTCCGAAGACGACAATCAGTCGATATCATACTTTATGCCACCTACCAATATCCATGATAAAAAATCAGTTAATAAATCAGATTCTTCAGATCGGATTTAGCAGAAAATGAAGAATTATAATTGAAAACGGTTTAGTAGAGCAGAAAATCACATTTCAAAATAAAAAAGAGGTTATTTAAGAATAAAAAAACAATCTCTTGTTTTTCCTTATAATTGTTTGTGCTAAGCATGAATAAAGTTTTGATATTCTTTAAACTAAAACACATTTTATTTTACACTTAGCAACTTTCCAAACTCACTTAACAAAAATGTACCTACGCTAATACTAATCAAAAAAGCGGTTCCGTGAGATTGATGTACCTTTAACTACCTTTAGTTTAGTTGCACTTCTATTTAATTTGATTATTTGCTGATAAACTATACTATAAGGCAGTCATATCACTTAACAGCAATAAAGTGTAGTCCAAGTGTATAATTTAAATATATATAATATATAATTTAAATATAAATCAAAAGAAAGTTAAAGTAGGTTAGCCGCATTTTTGCGTATGATTATTGTCAATGCTATACTAAAAATCAGTTAAGGTATACTTAACGGCCTTTTATATTGTAATTAATATTCAAATATAGGTAATGTTTCAATACTTACGTTAACTACATTTTTAGAGTTTACAGAACAGTATGCCAATAATTTCATTCAAAAGTATTTGTTATAGTTGAAATATTTTTTTCGGTGATATCTATCAAGAAAACCAATTTCGAATTTTAAACCCATTGCTAATCAAGTAAGCAATTCTGCATATTGTAAGTACCATTAAAATTGAATCGAATATTGACAAAAAAAATTAAAAAAAAAATTATATTCAAGCAGTATGTTAGCTATCTTAAACCTACGTTATATACAGTCCTTTGATGTTGTCTGCTTGTCTGTGCGCTTTAACTCTGTGAAAAACACTACGTCACTATATACGCTCACTACATTTGTTCATTGCATTTACGCATACCATCAAATTGTACACGTGTTGATACACTGGTGCCGCTGTCTACATGCGTAAGCAACGTAAGGCAAGGACTATGTCAATATTTTTATCGATAAACAGATCATCATGGTCCGAATAAGTTCAACGTTGGTAAATGTGATTTCTAGTGTTTGTTTATTCATTACCTAAAACCCTTCACAAGTCCGCTGCTGAACATAGGCTTCCCTCAAGGGATGCCACAAAGCACGGTTCTGATCCAATTGCATCCATCGACTTCCTACACATCTTACCTGGGCAGTTTTCCAACTTACTTTTAAGTAATTGTCTCTTTAAAAGTTCGCATTCGTCAGTTTCTATCCTTTCTTGTGCCTGATTGTTTTCTTTATATATCAAAGATGTCTCTGTCAGCGAATCTAGTATTTCTAGTTTAATTAGTTAAGTTTAATTTCCCTTGATGTAAAGTCCGTTTCTTTAGATACTGTCGTTTTTGTGCCATGCCGCCTCAACACGTGCCGCATTTTGTCAAAGGTGCGATATTAAAGTTCGCATTGTAAAGTACCTAAAATGTCGGAAATGTCGCAAAATTTAACGCGATAAAATCAGTAAAATTAGTTTCATCAAGTCAAGTCATAATTGTAAACTTTTCCAGAATATTTTCAAGAAGAATAATATTGGAGTTAAGGGTAATAATAAAACTAATTAATCTATTGATATAATTACAGCTAGATATTACCTCCCACAAGTTCAAGGTTGGTACAGCAGTATCGGCTAACCTTCTTTTATTGATACCTTGGGGTATGAAATATGATTTATCAAAATGTTTGGAGCAAATGGTGCTAATCCGTTTAGGTATCCAAGATTCATGATTTCTACAAGCTGAAATCAAAGTCTGCCGCTTAAGAGGATCTCTTGGAAATGTGTAAAATCAATCCTTGTGCACAGGCTTGACGATACATGTATAAGGGGTACTCACTTAGATTTATTTAAAGACTATTTTAAGGATCGTAAGTAGAAGGTAAAGATAGGTGAATACTTAAGCGATGAATCAGATATAACATTCGAAGTTTCACAGGGCAGTGTCCTAGGTCCTACTTTGTTTTTAATCTACATAAATAATCTAACCAACATGGACATTAACGAGGGCAAAATAATCTCCTATGCAGATGATACTGCAGTAATATTTACTAGTGACTCCTGGGATTCTGTTCATAGATCTGCTGAATAAGGCCTTACTAGAATCGCTAAGTGGCTGAACACTAACCTACTTAATTTAAATACTTTGAAAACTAGTTATATATGTTTTACAAATTATATTCGAACTCAGCCTAATAATAATTTCCAAATTAAGCTTCACACATGCTGTGATCCTTTAAGTACTAGTTGCTGCTGTTTATTAATTAGTAAGGTCTCCGAGACTAATTATTTAGGAGTCATAGTGGACCAAAATTTGTCATGTCATAGACACATTGAATTAATCATGAATAGACTTAGGAAACTTACATGGACATTTAAAACACTAAGAAGAAAAAGTTACTTTACCTGTATATATTTTGGCTCAATCTATCTTAACCTCGTAAGGCCCAATGCACATTACTTTGTATATTTACAATATTTACATTCCGGCCCCGAATATAAATTAAAATTTTCTCAGAAAGCCCCACTGTACAATGCGATGTACACTAAAATATTCATGGTTATACTTTTAAATTTTCGCGCTAAAGTCAAACTCGTTTGAATATTGTCGTTGGTCAACTAGTGTGGATGAAATTTTGACAGCTGACGTTTGACAGCAGTATATGTCAAGTGGCCAAAATCGGCCATTTTCTTTCACCATGCCTAAGATTCAAAAGCCAGGTGAGTAATCTTGATTAATTGGTAAAATCCTATGATTTCTCATATTGAAATTATGACAAAACATGGGTAAATTTGTATATTTTTAGGAATTGTAGGTATTTTTAGGCAGTCTTACATATTCTCGTTTTTATCTTGAATTGTAAAATAGTGTTCATTTTATTGCACATTGGGTGTTACTGATTTGAGTTAGTCAATTAATTAAAATAATTATTTTTAGTACTCCTACGTGATAAATAGAAGATCTGCTTGATAACTCTGAAATAGAAGATTTCGTACCGTCCGACGAAGATGTCGGTGACTCCGAGTTTCAATTCCCTACTGCAAGTTCGACTGAATGTGATAATAATGTCACCGAAAGTAGTAGTTCAGAAGCTGAAAGTAATATTTCAAGTGAAGAACGTTTAGTACGTGGAAGAGGCCATGCAACCAGGCGAGTAAGGGGACGCAGAATAGGAGTTGGAAGAGGACTTAGAACAGGGGTCGGAAGAGGACGCGGAACAGGGATCGGAAGAGGACGTGGGATAGGACGTGGTACAAGAAATAGAGAAAATAGGCGTAGTCACAGACTTGGAACAAGAAGAGGTCAGGAAAATGAGGATGAAGAAAGCAGTGTTAATAATGAAGACTGTCCTAATAGCGGAACATGGAGTGTGAAAAAGTTTGACCCTCGTTTCCCCCAAATGATTCAGCCTGCTTATCTGGTTAAAGACACGGAAGGGTTTACCAAAACTGATTACTTGAAGCAATACATAGATGATGAGCTCATTGATCTCATACAGAGAAAGTCTAATCAGACTGCCATCGAGAAATCAGGACGTAGCTTGTTTCTAACTTCTGAGGAACTGTATATCTACTTGGGCATAACATTAATTATGGCAGCAGTCAATTATCCAAAACTAAGGATGTACTGGGAAAAAAATGGAGGGTGACAATTATAGCCGATAACATGTCCAGGAACCGATTTTTCTTGCTGAGAAACTCTTTGAAATTGGTTTTCGACCATGATGTTACGCCAGAGATGAGAGCTAGGGATAAATTGTGGAAGATGCGCCCTCTAATCGAAAGCATACGAGCTGGATGCCACAAACAAGAGAAAGACCAATGTCTGTCTTTAGACGAAATGATCATTCCATTTACTGGGTCCTGTGCAGTTAAGCAGTACTGTCCGGGTAAGCCTAATCCAGTCGTCTTAAAGGCTTTTGTTTTAGCAAACCCGGATGGTACTGTTTGTGACTTTCACTTATATCAAGGCCGAACTACCTATCCTGGGTATGAGAATACCACGTTTGGTTTAGGAGAAAAGGCGGTTCTTACGCTGATAGAAGTTTTGGTTCCCGGTCATGTCATATGCTTTGACAGGTATTTTACGTCGGAGAAATTGTTGAACGAGCTTTAAAAGAACGGAATTCGTGGGACTGGAACTGTTATGAAAAATCGGATTCCTGCTGATGTGCGCCATTTACTGATAAATGACACAGAACTTAAGAAACAAGGACGAGGAAGCAGCCAAGTGATTGTCCGAAATGATGACAATATAGCTTTTACGAAATATTACGATAATAAACCTGTTTTGTTGTTATCATCTGTTGAAGCGAACATCGAATCTGACGAGTGTCGACGCTGGTTCAAGAAAACTAAAGTTTATGTGACCGTACCACGCCCCAGGGTAGTGAGACAATACAACCAGAAAATGGGAGGAGTCGATCTTGCCGACCGTCTTTTGGCTGTATGTCCCTATCGCTATAGGACCCGAAAATGGACACAACGTTTTTTCGCCTCAATGGTTGATTTAGCTATAAGCAACTCCTGGATACTAGTACAAAAAAGATCAATTGAAAGCTTTGGTTCCTTTAAAAAAAATTCAGCAACTACGAGCTTTCAAAATGGAGCTGGGCGAATATTTCATTGAGGCCTACTGTGATACTAACACAGAAGCTACTGACTCAGAAGAGGATAACCGACCTCTAGTAAGACGCACAGGAAACAAATCAGTTCCTGTACCCAATGATAAGTTTCGAACAACTGGAGATAAACATTTACCCTATATGGCGGAAAAGGTGGGTAGATGTCGACATTGTCATTATAACAGAACGCTGTTCAAATGCGAGGCCTGCAAAATTCACCTATGCCTAACGAAAGTCAGAAAGCTCTACAGGGACTTTCACAACTAAAATTAAGCGTTAGATCTTGCGTAATTTGTGTTAATTCATACTATATTGTGAAGATTATTTTAGGTCCAAAACTAAACATTACTCAGAATACTGTTATTTTCCTTAGATGTTTATGTGAAAAGGTGCCTGATGTTTACGGCACCTGATGATTGATCTCATTTAACGTTTAATTTTTAATAACTAGATCATAAGTAAACAATTTGATAATAGTTTTATCTCATCCAGTTGTGCCTTTTAGTAATAAAAATTATCTTTATAATTTATATTTCATTTTTAATTTAAGAACAATTTAACGCCCAGTGTACATTTAAATGAACCAAAGCTAGAAGGGTGAAAGTAGTCACATTGTATTTCTTCCTACCCTTCAGTACCCAGAAAAAAATAATAAATGCCTGGTTAACCCTAACACATAGAAAAATCGCCAAACGTGCGTGGGCCGGAACTATGAGACTAGATAGTGTACATTTTATTGCACATTGAGCGTTTGTCTTCTCCTTGTCTAAAATCACTTGGGCCTTACGAGGTTAAGGAATTTTTCCTAAAGAATTGAAATTATCCATTGTTATAGCATTGCATAAAAAAGTGACAGAAATAATATTAATAACTATGGACCAATTACATTTACATCAATATTATCAAAATTGTATGAGAAAGTTATGGAAAAAAGACTTTTAGATTTCTTTAATAAGTTTAACATATTAAAACCAGAGCAACATGGTTTTCAAAAAGGTAAATCTACGACACTGGCAACTTTTCCTATATAAAAATCGTAACCGATTTTATAAACAGAAAAATACCAATTTCTGCACTGTACTTTGATATGAGCAAAGCATTTGATAGTGTTAGTCATGATATTCTCTTAAAAAAATGAAGCTTATGGTATAAGAGGGGTAGCTTACTACTGGATACATAGCTATCTTAAAGATAGAAAACAATGTGTTGAAATACAACTAAAAGATAAAAAACGACAATTTTTAAAATTTAAATCTTCGTACTTACCAAATGATTACGGAGTGCCACAAGGGAGTGTTTTAGGTCCTTTACTGTTTTTAATTTACAATGACCTACAATTACATCAAACATAATACAATATTATTTGCTGACGACATTTCTATTTTAGTACCGAAAATAAATTTTAATTCTAGTAATACAGAATATGAAAATGAAATAAATATTACGATTGTAAATGTTGTTAAATGGATTAAAAAAAACAATAATCTAAGTATAAATCTATCTAAAACTAAGTAGATTCAATTCTACAATATTAAAAGTAAGCCGCAATTACTTGATATTAAGTATAATGGTGAAAAATTACTGCTAGGTACTGAATATACGACATTTTTAGGTATTTGTTTAGATAAACATTTTAATTGGATTTTAATTTTGCTCTGCGAAGGCTAACTTCGATCTCGTCAAGAAACACTTCTCTTCTAGCATATCATGGATATGTGGCTGCTGTATTAAGATATGGTCTCATATTGTGGGGAAACTCGACAGATGTAAACCGTGCTTTTATATAGCGCAAAAACGCTGTGTACGAGCAATTTGTGGCGTCGGGCCACTCGTTTCTTGCAAACCACTATTTAAGGAATTGGGTGTTCTTACGCTACCATCCATGTACATTTTTGAACTTTCAATATTCGTAAAAAAGTATCCTTATTTTTTTACTAGATAAAAAAATACAGTAACATATAGTTCCAGATACCCAGATAAAATTATTTTGCCTTCATTATAAACTAGCCTGTACTCAAAAAATTGCTATGTGATGGCTATTCAAGTGTTTAATAAAATCCCAAATGAAATAAGGCAACTAGATTATAATCGATTTAGACGTAATTTATTAAAGTAGCCTTTGGAAAAACAATTTAATTCGGTAAATGAACTGCTAAAAATAAAAGAACGTTTCTATTGTCTGTTAAACGCTGTTTCTTATTTGATCGTGTTGTAAAGGATTAATATCAAAGTTGTAAACTGATGCATGTTTAATTTTACTAAAATTTTGTATATTCTAACCATAAGTTTTCATATACCAAAATTGATGAATGCCCAACGGAGCATATTTTCTTTAAAAATATTTTTTAAATTTTTGAAACGAATGCGTCTTGAACTTTTGACGATGTCTTAAGATGTCACATATTACTTCAATGTGTATCACATTATGAAAAATGTGATACACATTGAAGTAATATGTACTTACGTATTAGAACAGCTATTTCAAACAAAACATGTGCGCTACTCTGTGTTCACGCGGTTGGTTTTTTATCATAGAATAAACATAGGTAGAATGATCAGTAGGTAATAATAGATTGTATTGTTAAATAGCTAAATTATATCGAGAACAATTTATAAATTTTGTCATTTATTTTGTATATTATATTTGCTTATTTAATATATATTACATAATATTATATCACAATTACATTTTAGTGATATTTTTATCTGTATATTTTAAAAGGTATAATAATAAAAAACATACTAAATGTATGTTTAACAAAACTTATTAATATAAAATTTAAATTACAAATATATTTATTTAAATTAGAATAAGAGTCGTTCATAAATTCTGGGCACGCGAGAGTTAAAAATGTACGAATTAATTCCACTTTGACTTAATATAAAAGAATAACGAGCAGATTTAAATATAAAAAATTTGGCCCAATTATGATAACTCATATATGTTTCTACAAAAAAAAAATTGTGTATAATAATATATTCGTCTATACTTAAGTACCCACAGAAATGTCGCATCTGAACAAATTAATTCCATAATCTATATTACATGACACAAGATGGCGTCTTAGGAATAACTTGTTTTATTATTAATTTATAATACTTTTTTATTCATTAAGTATCTTATTAACCGATGAAAAGTAATACCTTGGTTATTACTGACATTGCTTGAATTATTCAAGCAATATCTAAGTATACACGACGGCATATTTTTATCAAGAGATTTTTTTAAATCAACAACAACACGTTGCGCACACCCTACAAGCGTAGCGACTGAGAAAAGGGTGCATGCAGGGAAAAGAGTAGCTGAATGCAGTGTCGCCTCTAGTAGGTAGTACATAATAGCTCAATGGTGATACATTGGGTGCGTTTGGCAGAAAAAAGCGCTAGCAAGCGCTTGTAAGCAAAATGGCGATCGTAAGCGGTAAGCGCTGTCAAATCATAAGTAGCTATTTTCCTCCTGGACACGATGTTAGTTTTAACGGGGGGAACCTAACCTAATTTAAATATATGTTTGTAAAGTATTCATATTAAAAACTTACCAATCATGAATTTTTAATAACATGTATATGTTTATTCATGTCATTATATTACTTAAAACTAATATTGCACAAAACAACTTATAAACTCTACTTCAAAACAAACAAAATTAAATAAGCAAAATGGCGGATTGTGTCAGCGCTACCGAAGTAGCAATCGTGTCCTGGCCGAAAACTATTTCAGCGCTTATAAGCGCTTGCTAGCGCTTTTTTCTGCCAAACGCACCCATTATTATTTTATAAGAAGATTTTTGTACCATATTTCTTGTGAATAAATTTATAATCTATTTATTTTATTTATTTAGCGTTACGAGCTTGGGGTTCGTAACAATAAAAACTGCCGACGAAATGGAAACTTTAATCACCGAATACAAATTACAACTTAAAACACACAAATAATAAAACACAATTCTCAGTTATATCGTTTCGAAGTAATCGCTTGAATTCTATACTACTCGGTCGCGGTCCTTACCGGCCTTAAATAGGGCCTTTTCTACTGAAACATCTGGAATATTCGAGTACATGTCGGTCCTGACTGACTAGCCGTAGAAAGATCTAGGATGGAATTTTTGGAAAGCTCTCCTAGTGCTGCTGCTCGATACTAGATGATGCGAGTAACCACTCACCACGTATCAGGAATTAATTATGGCACGCAACATTAGTATATTGCATTCCTGTATGAAGTGGAGCTACAAAAACCAAATTTCTAGGAGTTGAAAGGGCAAAGAGAAATTTACTAAAATTATGTATTTTATACCAAAAAGAAACCCTACAGAAAATCTTTATGCCACAGGCAAAGACATTTAAGTATATAGTAGTAATAGACCGAACATCAGCAGCAAAATTGTCGTCTGTGACTTTTGTCCTATAGGATATATCTCCGATTTTTCTCATTTAGTCATTTTAGTCTTAGTGACATCGTTAAAAGTTCAAGACGTATTCGTTTCAAAAATTTAAAAAAATATTTTTAAAGAAAATATGCTCGATTGGGCATTAAGGTATTGTAAGTCACGATATGGAGCAAAAATGAACATGATTTCATTTTATATTTGTAAGAATAATGTTACCAAATAATCTTTATATTTTATTATTTCCAATAGATTGTTCTAGAAGAAAGAGAAATTATTGCAATAAGGGCCCTCTGTTATCTAGTAACGTCACTATTTATTTACCAATATTTTAGTAATTGACGACGTGCCTAAAACGGATTTTTACGTTATATTTAGTAGCGTCACCTAATGGGAAATAGCTAAAATGTTTTCCGAATAAATATTCAGCTTAGTATTGCTATGTTTCGCTAGAGGGTATAACACATGCGCGAGCTTACAGTTTTTGTATGTAAATGTTTCCAATGTCCGCTCTATAGTAAATATATATTTAAATATCTTTGGCCATAAGTAATGTACTTACTGTTAGGACACCGTACATCTTACATTCATTCTAAGACAGCATAAAGGTATAAAGTTTAACCGTTCTATAGAAGCCAAAAGAAGAATAAACGTAGTGGCTACAGCCGTCGCTGTTAAAAGTGTTTTAACTAGGAGGCAATATGTAAAACAGTCAGCGACTCTATACAACGCTATTAATAAAATCATTAAATCGTTCGTCTCTCAAGTAGCCTATTTGGTGACCAGTCGCCTTTCAGAATTTTTCATAGCCGATTTCCATACTGAGTAGCCTAATTGTCGAAAAATCGCATCCGTTGGCAACACTGCCAGTAGGCCCGTGCCCGAAGGGTGGATATAACTGAGCAAGGGATAAACATTTTATCTCTCTAGTATATACACAGTAATCTATGATTTTATCATTTCCCTGTGTATAAATTTTCTCCTGCCTATGCTAGCCCTGCTGGTCGGTTTCTTTATTCATGTATTTAT